ACATGCAAGGCAGGAAAACATCTATAACATGCAAGGCAGGATGCCTCAAGGAGCAAAACTCAACTCAGCCTGAAATAAAGCTTTCAAACTGAAAACCAGAGATCAGAGAAAGACATCAGTTCTACCCAGATACTCTAATAATAATAATAATTCATTTTATTTATAATGCACTTTTCACCAAAAAGGCCTCAAAGTGCTACAAAAAAACATTAAAAAAAGCATTAAAAAAGAAATACATAGAGATAAAAGAAATAAAATAAAATAATAAAAGCTGTTTCAAAAGAGAAAAAAGAAACATCTAAGGGCGACCAAAAGTTTTGCTAAAAAGAAATGTTTTAAGGCCTTTTTTAAAACACTCTGTGGACTGAGGAGCCCTCACGGTGTCAGGGAGGGAATTCCACAGACGTGGGGCAGCAGCACAACATGCTCCATCTCCCATCGTCCTGAGTCTGGTTCTGGGAATGTGGAGCAAGTTGAGTGAGTGGAGCAAAGGGAGCGGGACGTATTCCGTGGCTTGATAAGTTCTTTGAGGTGGGGGGGGCATGTCCATGGATGCATTGATGTGTGAGGAGGGAGACCTTGTATTCTATCCTGGTGGGAAGCCAGTGTAGTGAATGGAGAATGGGGGTAATGTGCTCATGTTTCTCATCAGGATCGTGGCTGCAGAGTTTTGAACGTACTGACGCCTCTGCAGACTCTTTCTAGGGATCCCAATGAGAAATGCGCTGCAATAGTCCAGTCTGGAGGAGACAAAGGCATGGACCAGCTTCTCAGCGTCTGGGAGGGAGAGAACGAGACGGAGTTTGGAGATGTTACGGAGGTGGTAGAAAGAAGTCTTGCATAATTGATTTATGTGGGCTTCAAAAGTGAGTAGTGAGTCCATTCTTACACCAAGATTACTAACGGTTGATGAAAGCGGAATGTTAGTACCAGAACATCTGGTACTAACATTCCGGGGGGGGGGTAGGGTACCATTAGGCAATACTAGGCAGTTGTCAGGGGCCCCAAGTTCCTGGGGGCCCCATAAAACTCTGTTTCCATGTATGGTTAATACAACTATTCCTTATTTGTTCACATTAATTATGTTTTAGCTAAAATGCCATCAGAACGCTGATAATATTAAGTGTGTCTCAGCCCCCCCTTCAGTGTCCACCATATTGGATCAGTCCATTTGCTGCACATGTTCAGAAAGGTCCAAACAGACAGCAGCAAACCATTTGAAAACAAACCATGCAAAGAGCAGTGTTGCCAACCAGAGGTGGGGACTCCAGTTTGTGACTCGTACACGAGTCGCACTTAAAGGAAAATTCCGGTT